TCTTGGCTGCGTCCAAAGCCATCGAGTGAGGACTACCACACCCATACAGACTGTGGACAACATGGAGACGATGATTGGCACATAGAAATGATCAAAAGCTAAAGCTGAACATCTAGGAGGAGAAGAAAAACAAAAACAACAACACTTCCCAATCACACGATACCAAATCAATATCAACAAAGCACACCTGTGAGCAGGAGTGTAGGTGACCAACCCGGAGCCTTGAAAGGTCTCTGGAGGTCAGATTCAAAGCTCGTTATGCCGAGTCGAGGTACTTGCCTGGACAGAGAGCTGGCTCCGAAAGACCCTGCACTGGGGGCCATGGGGCTGCCACCTTGGCTGGAGGGCTGCACCAGCGTCAGACGGTGGTCCGGGGATTTGGCTGCTGCAATTGGCTGAGAGGTGGCGGTCAAGCTGGCGAAGGGGTTGTGGACACGCGACTGGGTGGACATCATTAAGACTTCCATCAGGATCTGGCCAATCAGGTCTTTGAAGTCGGAGTACACTACATGAGAGGGGGGGCAAAAATTATTACAGGGAAGTTATTGGAAGCAAAAACAAGGGTTATTACAGTGGGATAAAGACATTATTTAATGACGTACCATCTTTAGGGTTCTGGTGGAACTCTGCAGCTATTGAAGGGAGAAAGATGACATCTCTATCCTGCTCCTTCCACGATACGCGGAGGATCTTACAAATGAGCTGCAGAGCCTGTTCTTCTGAGACATCAGAGTTTGCAGAGGGTTCCTGGGGTGAAATTAGAAAGACAAATTAGACGGACCAGCATTACTCCGAGTGCAATCATAGTCTTTATCTCATAATCATCCCGGTACATCAAGATGCATCAACGGACTGCAATACGTGAAAACAAAACCAAAAATTGCATCCACGGAAAGTCCCCAAATACTTTAAATACCATCTCAAGACGGCCATGATCAAAGTCCAGTAGGCTGGTTAATTAAGGATAAACGACCCTCTCTTTTGAGCAATGTTCACTGCTGCCATTTACCTTCTCAGGCAAGTTCCTCTTCTCCCTGCGATCGCTGTCCTCCACCTCCATGTTCTCTATCCCTGAGTCCACATCCACCTGGGACATGCTGGAATGAGACAAGAGCCTTAAAAATTCTCTTCATCTCCGAGCAGACAATGCTGACATTCAAACATCAAGCAGCGCATTTATCTCAACCATTTTCTCCAATCTCAGTATTTCATTGCACGGCCACGTGAATTGTTTATGCTACAAATGATTAAAAACAAGTATATAACTGTCGGAGGTAGATGGATCAAGTCGCTGTTAATATTGTTACACCATATAGAACAAAATTATGGATAGTCATTGAATGCATGTGGTCATTGTGAGAATAAATGTTCTGATAAACCTATTTGGTGTGAATCATAAAAACTGGAATCTACTGTTATTTCAACACGATAACAAAGGCTATTGTCCATGAGGGTGAAAACGTACACACACACACACACACACACACACACACACACACACACACACACACACACACACACACACACACACACACACACACACACACACAACACACACAACACACACAACACACACAACACACACACACACACTTCAAACCTTCCAGAGTGGAGTATTTGAACATCAGGGCTCAATGGAAGACGCTCACCTCTTTTCACAGGAGGCGGTGTCGATGTCCATGCTCTGCGATCGGGACAGACTCTGGGACTGAGTCTCAAGGCTGTTGGACGGGGAGCTGGAGAGGGAGCTCAAACCCTCGCTGCTCTGACTACCATAAGCCACCCCTGCAAAAGCAATACAACACAACTGAGCACCTTTGCAATTCATGCATTTCTTTGCTTTTCCGTTTTCTTTAAATGTCTACACTGATCAAGAGTCTGCAGGACTTTAGTTGTAGTGAAGAACACATTGTTTGGCCACACTAAGTTAAGATCAACATGGTGTGCCATCAGGTAGAGAGCAAGCTGATTAAGACACAGAATATTACTGTGGGTCTAGCGTCGGAGTTAGCAACTCATGGCCCAATAATCATATGATCCATGCCTGTGTCAACTTCAATATTCATAAGAAATGCATTAACCTCCAATTCCGCTAATTTTGAAAAGTACCACGGGCCCTACAAGCCGTAGAAGGCAGCCCTGTACAGCAGCACCACATGTATGCGTGCCTACAGACAATGCCTGGGGATGGTCAGTCGACCCATTCGTGACTGACTGCTGTGTTTTCTAGAGCAATGTATAAAAGAATAATAATATCTCCCTCTGCACGGCAGGCCTACACTTTGTTGCACAGGGACACAAGCTGCTGATGCTGTTGTTGTTTGCGGGAGTACGACCGGTTCCAAGTCAAAGTCACAAATACAAAAGGTCCCTTTCAGCGTTGAGCTCCGACTCGAACAACCGCGGTTGATTCATATTACAGTCTTCACAGAAATCTCATCAACCCTGGACGAGTAGGACAATAGGGTTAGACAAAAGATCAAACAAAGAGGTTGACAACAATAACTACGGTGACAACGGCTGAAAGATGACTGGATCCTGACATGATGTTAATAATAATCTTAATCGCGATCCGGCTCATTTCTTCTTACCGGAGGTGCCCATAGGGGACGAGGCAGGGGTACCACTGTGTACATTGAGCCCCAACAATTGAGAGGAAGCTGGTGGCAGGGGCTGGAGTGCGACACCTGAGGGTCCGGGGAGGGGTCCGGGGGGAGTCTCTCTCTGTGGAGACGTCAGGGGTGTGCTGAGAGGGGTGCTGGGCTGTGACGTCTGTCCCCCTGCCAATCGTACCAGTCGCCTTCTGCGGATCTTGAAATAATATTCCAGCAAATTGACATAATCACTAAAGGGTCCTCGGACGGTGACTCTACCGACCTGCACAAGATCAACTTATTTTGGAACAGGACAGTTGAGATTGGCATATATTTTATATACGCTTAGCTAAACGATTGGCAAAATCGACGATATAGAAACGTTTTGTCATTACGCATCTTTGATAGTCGAAAGACACACGACTGATCAATGCTCGGTTATCATTCATTCACCGCCCACAAAACAATGTAACCGACCAAATGATCAAAGTCTGGTGCCACCCGGCAGAAGAGCACCGACGTTTCTACAGTGAAAACAACACGAGTTGACCGAGTGCAAAGCGACAAAGGAGGAACACTTTGTAAAATGATGTGTGTTGCCCAAGTGGAAAAGCTCAGCGGCCACACAGTGGGCCAACAGTGATTGCACAATGGTGGCCCGGTGCTTTTTTTATTTTTTTATGCTGAGTCGTCTTGCAGGCTAATTTTTTAGGCTGTTAGCAAAACAACGTTAGCAACTAACAGCTAGGTTACCGCAGGAAAATGTGCCAAATCGAATATCAGCACCGTCATGATATAACGTTAGGTGCAGGAAAACACACCATCAGGTGAAAACAATTCAATGTATTTATATCAATTCGGTCACTTTATATTTTAACAATGTAACCCGATGGCCAGTGTGCACAGACTCAGCGTTACGTTAGCAGGTTAGCATTTTGCTCCGGCTAATTTAAATGAACGAAAGCTTCTGGCAAAGGTGACAGAAGCCCATGAAACCATATCGGAGTTAAACCCCACAGTTCTACAGCAGGACTTCCCAGTAAACATGTCATGGGTCGCGTGCGCCAACATGCGCCTAGATGACGTTATGCTGGTATTAGACACGCATCAATTGTGGCTTTTTTTTCGAGGATTTGTTCAGTTTGGTGCTAGCCGCTGAGCTAGCTTTGGTAGCAGGTCGGCTAGTGGCAAACCATTTGACATGAGGTCCGAGGGAAAGGAATACATTTCGATGCAAATAATAACTTTAGCTAAACAGAGCTAACCCATTATTCAGCATTCCCGCTGCACGTTTCCCCATGTTGCCTCACCTCGTCTGCGCTCAGCTCCTCCATCGCAGCTAGGTTAGCCGCTATTTCACGTTCAACTGCTTTGATGTGTGCCAGCCAGAGCCAGCTAGCTAGCTAGCCTGTGTTAGAACTAAATATGCATTGTCCAACTCGATCAGCAAATACGCGTCAGTCTTGATTGTCTTCAAGATACAAACTATGACTCCGGTATGCGAGAGGCTGCGAGATATAGATCCTCAAAAAAGTCTCTCGTTTGCTAGATTCCTACCAAGAATGAAACAAAAAGAAAAGTAGCTAGCTATTATACGTCAAAATACAAGGGCAGACATTTTGGTTCTGTAGTGTCACGTGATTTAACGACTGGGGGAGGTGCGAAGCTTCAGTGTGTCCCAGAGATGAATGTGATATTTCACAGGTTATACGTGTGTTTGTTTTTGTGTCAGTCAAATGGTTTTCAGTACTAATGAGTTGACTGCTCGCTGTTCTGAATTAATCCAAATTACGCGTATGTTTACCGTAGCCTTCTAAAATACAAATTCAGTTTTTCATTAAACTCAGTGGGGGATTTCAGAGAGATATTGTTGATCTCTTCAGAGGTGTTTGCTCATTAAGCTGTCTGCTGTTCACGAGACGAGCCCTTGTGATCGGAATCATACGAACCTCTGATAAATTCACCTGCAAGTCTTTTCTCAAATGATCAGACAAGTTCATAGAATATTTTAGCCATCTTGAGCTGAACATTTCAGATCATATGTTCATCACAGTTAACATCAGCGCAGCAGGGCTCTTTAGTTCACCTGCTTTGATTTATTTATCTTTTTTTGGCCAATGGAAAGATGCAATTGGAGGATAATCGAAACGTAGGTAACAATGTTATGGTGTGCATGAATTAAGCCCCTTGTGCACAGCCCAAATCAGACTGTATCAACTTACATATTCATGTTATTAAGTTGTCTGCTAATGCTGCTCAATATATTGCCCCATTGTCACCTCACAGCTTCATCATTGAATGATGACATAGGCCTGATCTATGAGTGAGAGAACTCTAATGGCATACAGCGCGAAAGATACGTTCGCTTATTTGACCAGGGATAGCTATAATGACAAAAATGAACGATTGAATGACAAAGCATTTTATTAGGTCAGGCTGGACTACATTGGATACACATGTATCTACAGTCACATCATTGCCTTCTACCAAAAGCTCAACCAAATAACAGATGGAAAGCCCATGCAAAGGAAATATATTTAAAACGAAAAATATATACAAAGTGTTCTGTTTTTTAAGCCATTTTAAAGGGAACCGAAGACAGGCATTGCTTTTTATTGGAGGCCCAGCACCATTGAGCTACAAACCAGTGTAGACTAGACAGTATCAGCAAATATAACGTACTGCTGCCATCTAGTGGTGAAAATCCAAATCATCAGGAAATATTTTATTATTCACCTGAGCATTGAAGCATTGAGCACTGAGCATTGCAGTTAGATAACAGAGAAAATCACACACAATACATTTAGATTTATGGTGGTTTAGCAGGTCAGGGGTTCGAGTGGTGAATCCAACACACAATGCTGGTCATCACAGAGTAACTCCTTCAGAAAAACCTCGTTCATTTCTCTTCACTCTTTCCCATTCTTCTTAAAAAAACCTGCTTGCAGACTTCTCCTTCACAGTACAGCTCCTAAGGCACATCAATGTGTATTCAATATACAGTATGGTGCAATGCAATTCAAAAATAAAACTTTAATGAATTAAGAGTTGTGCATTGTGTGGAATAATTTTGATTAAATCCAGAAACCAAATTCATATTCTCACCAGATGCAGCTTGTCCTCTTCGACCCAGTGAGCCCAGCCCCGGTTCTTCTTCTCTCCAATCTGTTCACACACCAGTTTAATCCCCTCCCACTTCACCAGTGACTGCGCGTTTGGCAGAGAAGAGAGAGTGCACATCCCAACACAACAGGTTTAGCAGCCCAAATAAAACGTAAAACTCATCACATGATCTGCAAACCAATCGCAATGGTTACACGTAATTAACCAGGCACCTTTCCTCACCTTGACTTGTCTGTTGTCCAGTCCCTTGGTAAACTCCTCAAACTCCTGACCCTCCCTAAAGGAGACCGAGTAGTTTCGGAACTTGCTGACAGTTTTGATGACGTACTGGTCCTCCAGCTGCTCAATCACCTTCTTGAGCTTTAGCTTCAGGGCAATCTTTCGTATACCCGGGCTGATACCTGAACGGTAGAGGAAGTGATGTCCTTGTTTGTAAATCTGTGGGACAAACCCACCCATGGGCTAAAATACATTATTTCACTCACACTTGCATCCCAAGAATAGCACTGAAGCAAAGGCGCACAGAGATTATAACATCTGAGAAAGTTGTCGGGATTAAAAAATGCTTTAAGGACCTACCCATTGCAACCATGTAGCCCTCCAAGTTGTCGTTGCTGATGATGTCCCACGTACCACAGAGGCTGGCTGGCATTTTGATGACCTTTCTGTGATCCTCAAATTGCTGCGATGATGAGGAGCTCTGAAAAGACGATATCTTGTGAGACACCTGGACTTATAAAGGTAGTTGTTGCATTCTCATTAGCCGTGGCCAGGATGGCGTAAGAGCGAAGGAGGAGTTTGTTCTGTGTCATGGTGCAAAAGGAAGGTCAGACGTGTCGGACCGGTTTCACCACTGACTAATACGCTGTTCACAAGCGACCCGGCTCCACAGTTTAATTTCACAGACAAACCCATGGACGTTGACTATAAAGTTAGACGAAATGCTCAATTATACGGTTAATTCAGATCCTTCTTTGGTTTAAACAATGTTATTATAGCAGCTCAAATTATTCCTGTGATAAAAGGTTATCTATAAAAGAAAAACTGCTTTGGATGAGCATAACTCTTTAATAATCAATATTCATATATGCAAATGAGAATACTTTTTCGATAGATTTTTGTTTTGCAATATTATAAGAAAGGATCTGTTAGTTGAGATAATCTAACTGAAATCTCCCGAGCATCAAACACGTGCTGTTTTTTTCCGAGTTACCTTTTCCCTGTAAATGTGAAAGCATTCACAGCTACACTGGCATGCAGTGTGCAAGAAAATCATGCACAACCAGATTGACAGAAAATAATACCTTAAGTTTCAGGATCAACCGACTCCCCAAAAGCCCTTTAATAAGAACTCGCTCTTTTAACTTGGAATTCATATCTGCTTAATGAAATTTAATACTATTACTTCCACAACTTCAATTTCAACACATTACTATCAGTCTTCAGAAGTAGGATTTCTTTATTTTAATCATATTCCATCAGTGACGATGAGCTGAAAGATAATTAACCCCCAGCAGACAAACAGCATTTTAATGACAGAAAAGGTTGCACTTCCTTTACTGAGTTTCTCGGAAGAGCAATAAAAAGCTCCCGATGTGAGAGTCAAAGAGGTGTTGTTTATTTCAGCTCCAGACATTGCTAATCCCTCCTTCATTTTCAGGACTCCGCGATAGTTTTCAATCCAACACAGTGATGTGACACAAAGCACAATTATTGTCATTATTCAACATGGCACATTTTGCAACACGATGCACACAGTTCTCTGTGACGTAAAGTCACCTGTTATCCTTTTCAAAACACTGCCACTCAAAGTTCCCCACCCACGGACCGTTTGGCAATACACGTTCCAAACTGATTGCTTGAATCTCGCACTGTCAAAAGGAAACGATGCAGAGAAGCCTGCTTTCAAAGATGTGTATTGGCACAAATTCATGTTTGTTTTTTTGTCTCCACAATGCTGCCTGTATCTACTATATCTGTCGATGTTTGAATAAATCAACATTTCAATCAGTCCTGCTCGTCTTTAGGGTAGTGTTTCAATGTTTTACTGCAACAACGTCTGTGTAAACTGTGGTAAAGTATTCAATGAGTTATTTAATTTGGCAAAATACTTGCAAACCAATAGCTCAATAATCACACACCCGATTATTTCTACAGTAGCAATGACGTTTGGATGATTTTCCACGCAGTTGTGCGGTTTCTTTATATTGTAATTTTCCACACACACACACACACACACACACACACACACACACACACACACACACACACACACACACACACACACACACACACACACACACACACAATAATCAATTGTTACTAAATCACTTTGCTCAGAAAAGTGGTAGATTTGTCTCATTAAAAAACACCCATGTCTAGAAAGAACTGCTGATTTTCCAGAAGGCACTGGTGGGAGCTCTCACTGTGAAACAAAGCAGCTCCACTCATATCTTCCTCAGCTTGTGGAGGCACCAGAGTATCTCTGAAGGGGGGCTAGAATCACGTCGGCGTTTTTCTGCTCGCTCTCGGCGGTGTAGAGGCCCTGCTCTTGTATGTAACGAACCACGGCGTCCGGCAGCAGGTACCGGACGCTGCGACCCCGCCGAAGCGACTGCCGCACGTGAGTGGCGGAGATCTCGTTGGTCACCCATTCGTGGACCACGTGGATGTTCTTGCGATACTTCCACAGCATGTCTGATCCGTGGATGAACTTGTGGGGGTCGCTGCCGCTGCGGGTGATGCAGACCAAACCGTAGCGGCCCACGATCGCAGCGATGTCGTCCTGCTTCCACAGGTTCGGTACCCCAAAGGACTCGAGGACATCAGCCCCGCACAGCAACATTAGATGAGGGCCGCCTGAGCATGAAGAAAGGATGTTATCATATTTACACATCCCATAAAGGGTACTCAAAGATCTAAATGAAAAAATAAAACAATAAAAATAGTAGCAAGACGATTGTCACTCACAGGACACTCCAAAATGAAGCTAAGAAATATATAAATACATGTTAAGTATTTATAAAACTTGTTTTACAGAAATATTTATCAAGAGACATTACAGATGGAGTGAGTCCAATATTGCTGTTCATCTTTTTTAGTCACTGCTACAAAAACACTTTAGCTACACTTAAAATCAATCACAGTGTTGTAAACAAACCGTCCAATGCACTGTTTTAAAATAATATCCGATTAATCAAGAATCAATTATAGTTATAACTTAAAACTGAATGCATTTCTCCAGCTGACGTATATTATCCTTTAAAGTGCAGAGACATGTGAGCGATTTGCAGGTTTAAACTCGTCAGTAGTGGGAGGAATGTCGTTTTAGTTGTGTGACACTTGCGCTCCCCTCTCCTTATTATAGGTGGTGTGATTCATTTTCACCCGTCACACACGACCACACCCCGACACCTTTGTCTCTTGTTGTCGGTTGAACTGAATACAATAATACATGCATGCATATGGTGGAGGCAGGATCACACACGTCTGAAAATAGGGATTGGAGAAAAAGGGAGGAGTTAAAAAAAGAACAGTACATCAGACAAAAACAAACATGGGCCACCTCTCTTTGTGCGATGAGATGGCTTCTCTGCGCGTCTCTTTTTTGCATACTTGACCGTGTCCACGTCATCGTCGGTCTGCTCTGCTGGCTGCAGTTGGTCATAGTGATGCCTAAGACGATACAGTCAAAATGTTGTATTCAGCTCTTCAGCTCGATTTCATGCTGTGGATTATACTTCAGGGAAATCAAACAGCAAATAAATGTCCTTCATCTCTAAATTAAAATGTATGATTTTTGTGATTGTGTTTTGCACTCAATATGTCTATTATATACCACATTAAGTTAATTTGAATCAAAACGCATTTTCATCTTTCAAAATCAGTTTAAACATTTATTCAGCTTAGGCCTTCGCTTTTTAAGTTAAATCAATTTCATTCATTCAGCCCAATTTCACACACAGCACAATAGAAAACAGCATATTGAGGACACGGAAATGTCTGACAGGTAGTGTCTTAGATTCCTAAAAAGATGTCCTTACACCTTTTTAACAGCAAAGGCGTAAATAGCAGAGAGTGTAAACTTGCCGAACGACTTTGGCTGTCTCCACCCACTCTGGCTGCAAGCTTTCCCACGAATCAACCGTGATCCAGTCGGAGTTCTCTGTGGACAATCTGGCCATCTCCAGACGATGGCAGGCCTCGATCAAACCCTTCTTCTTATAGGCATCGCCCACCGGAGAGATGATGCCCTTCACCACCCTGTACAGACCTTAGACAAGAAAGCAGCATGAACAGATGGTTTAGAGTAACGCCACAGCAGGTAACATCCACGCATATACGCCATCAGTGGTGACTCCATTCAATGACTCCATTCATTTATCATTTTCTTTATACTTCTATTTATAAGGGAAGACATTTTTTCCCAGCCATGTTTGTTTGACAGCTAACTTTACTTTCTTTTAAACTCCTCACACATGTATGCATCGGTATTAATAATCGGGTGTGGATTAAGGATGCGGCTCTCTCATACGGAGTCCTGTCACAGATTACATGCTGCTGCAAATAATAACACAAATATTATTACAAGTGAATGCTGGACATAATGTCATGCATGTAATTGGGAATGTTTACATCAAGGAATTCCAACATCTGCTTCAGTGAAGTATCTAAATACTTTCAACCATATACATCTAATATAGCTCAAAGGTTTCATTGTCCTGTCACTCAACCTGTGTCCTCCAGATGGTCTCGGGCCAGTTCAAACATCCTCAGGTGCATGTTAGTCACAGGGTTGAAGGACCCGCAGGCCAGCAGGACCACTTTGGTTATTTTATGACCGTCCATGTCTCATACTAGAAGAGCAAATATGCAGAATAAAACCGACTGAACTTAAGATACTTTGGTTGAAATACAAACGACCCCCCCTGGCTCTCTGACCTCTGAGGGGGGAGCACAGTATTACTTTGTGATGGGAGTTACACAAGTTAGAAACGGAACTATCCACTATCGTTAACTTATAACGTGTTGGTGACTAAAGCTAATGTTAGCTAGCTTCAATTGCCATTCATTCATAAAACGTTGGCAGAGTTAGCTTTCTCTCTAAACAGGCAACGCGAGCGAGCCGGTTGGTACAAGATGCTCAAGCAGACGAATCAAAGCGGCGCTCAGTCAACCAAGGACGTGTTTTCTACCGCAGAAGAGGAAGGTAAATAGTGAAAATATGCATTGCGCTGAAACGACAAGCTGCTGTGGACAGCTATGGAACAGGGGACTTCCGGGTTTGACGTTGCATTGAGAAATCTGATTGGACACAATCGACCAATAAGAAGAGAGCTGCACCTACTCTTCCAAGCTACATTCACAATCACAAACGCGCATCCTTAAACGCGTCGACAGCAAATATACGTGCTGTAAACCTTCATAAAAGTAGCTATTCTTTAAAGGGAGTTTTTGAAACAGCTACCTTTACGTATACTCGTCAAGCTGGTGCAAATATTTGACGCGCACAACTCATTTCCAACTGTCTACGGTGAGTCACGGTGAGATATTTTTCTTCTAGCATGCAAGCTAGCTGGTCGGCTAACGTAAATAACGTAACAACTGTATAGCTTGCACTTAAAGCTGTAAAGGTCTAAGCTTCCAGTGAAATGACCACCGCCCAATAATACCATCGATGTCGCAATGAATGCTGAAGGGGGTTTGCTGCAATGCTAGCTACAACAACGCCTTTCTAATGAAGTATACCAGGTTGCAGTCAAGTTATTTGTGCAACAATGGCTACTGTCTCGCGTCCTACTTGTTTACTGTTTGATTCATTTTTGCGTTCTCCATAGGTCGATATTAACGAAGCATGGCGTCTCGAGGGAAATCAGAAACTGGGAAATTGAGGCAAAATATGGAAGGGCAGCTCGACAGACTGATGCAGCAGCTTCAAGATCTGGAGGAATGCAGGTGCACACAAGCTCTCTACTGACCTACCAAATAAGACTGTCATAGATGGCAAGTGATCTAATCTAACGTTAAGTTTCCGCCGTCCCCTCTTTGTTATTCTAGAGAGGAAATGGACGACGAAGAGTATGAAGAGACAAAAAAAGAAACCTTGGAACAGTTGAGTGAATTCAACGACTCCCTGAAGAAGATCATGACAGGAGACATGACACTTGTGGATGAACTCAGTGGGATGCAGCTGGTAAGGACGATTCGTTGATTGTGCAAATACCGCGCGTGTCCATTTTAAACTCTTGTTTTTTAAAAAAAAAAATCACATTTCTTCATCAGGCAACTCAGGCAGCCATCAGCCAAGCTTTCAAAACGCCAGAGGTGATCCGCCTTTTTGCTAAGAAGCAGCCGGGACAACTGAGAACCAGACTAGCAGAGGTCAGCCGCGCAGTGTCGTGCCCTGATGTGACCGCAGTGGTTTAATGCACAGTCGCACTCCTGCTCCATCACGCCCTCGTGTTCATCCGTGTGTTGCTTTGCTTGAAAGTTGTCCAACCAGTGCGTGATATTCTGCGCAGATGGACCGGGATGTTATAGTGGGAAAACTGTCGCGGGACGTGTACATGCAGCAGAAAATGGAAATCCTCACAGCCTTGAGAAAACTTGGAGAGACGGTGAGGGTCACAGTAGACATGCATGTCACGTGCTTTTCCTCGGGTTCATGGTTGATTCACAGGCTTGTGCTCATGAGTCAGCACGGCTTCCTTTAGTCTGCGGCCTTTAAGCTGATGGATGAGTTGCTACAATCTGAATCTCACTTCCAGAGGAGACTTCTCTTCTCAAAGGTTAAATTAACAACATTATTTTGGTTTCTCTTTGCAAACAGCTCACTTCAGAGGATGAGACTTTTCTCACTGAAAATGCTACAGCTACTCTGAGCCAGTTTGAAAAAGTGACGGCAAACTTGGGTGAGAAAAAAACATGTGATTTCACTGATATGTTTTTTATTTAAATTATAATTGAATATTTATTCTTGTTCTCTCTTTCAGGCTCTGAAGACAAGATTCTGGCTTTAGCTTGCTCTGGTGTGAAAACCAAGGCATAGCAATCCTACAAAATGTTAATTTTATGTCTTTAAAATCTGTGTCAATTTGTAAATAATCAGTGTAGCTGCAAACACGTTTTAACGAGTTTTCTTGTATAGACCTCAGCTTTTGTAAATGTCTTTTATTTGTCCGGTGGCTTGTGATTTGGGTATTTGAAGACATACATGAATGTAAAACATTAATTTACATGTCTTCATATTCCAGTTCCAAAGAAATGCTTTTAAAAATTGTACTGTATCTGTCTTAAAACCTAAACTATTCAACAGTTAAAATGTTCTAATATTTTTTAAACTAAAGTCTGCTGTTAAAGGGAGTTGCATATAACAACCACACCACACTAAGTAGGTCTAACACCAATCAAACTACAGATAAATCCAAACTATCAGTAGAGAACATGCAACATATGCTATTTACAGTGGCAGCAACAAGTCAGGGCTTTTTGAGAAGAATAAATGGAAAGGTGTCAGAAAAGGTACTAAACAGAACTATAGCCTCCATCCATCGTCAAACCGCTTATCCTGCACGCAGGGTCGCTGGAGTCCATCCCGGCCAACTTTGGGCGATAGACAGGGTTCACCCTGGACTGGTCTGCAGCCAATCGCAGGACTAACAGAGAGACATACAACCATTCACACACACACACACACACACACACAGGCAATTTAAAGTCCCCAATTAACCTGATCCCCAGAGCACGTCTTGGACTGTGGGAGGAACCCGGGGAGAACATGCTGACTCCACACAGAAAGGCCACTGGGCAGAGTCGAACCCAGGACCTTCTTGCTGTGAGGCGACAGTGCTAACCACCGTGCCGCCCCCCAAACTATAGCCTGTCCATTGAAATACTCTTTGTAAGTCTTCATGTAAACTGAAAACAATTTGATCAGATTAGTTTTTCTCGTGCACATTTCAGCATCCACCTCATGAGAATGATTCAGTTTATATTAAGAGTCTGCGTTGGACATTTAACCACCAATTAACCAGAGTTCACTTTGCATCACCACATGCAGCCTGTGCGGTTGGTCACGAGGAATCAGGGTTACAAACTAAATAAGGATCAGAGCATCTCTTCAACCACCACGAAGGAGCAGTTGAGATTCAAAGGCATGTTGATTTGAATGTGAATTAAAAAAAACATCCACGTGTTTATTTGATCATTTTCCACCGCTAGACGGCACCAGCGCTCCATCTTTAAAATACTTTCAGTGGCACAGTGCTGATAGCACAGACACACCTTGTGCACCACCTTCACTGAATCTACTGATGCACCAACAGTTAAAAGAAAAACCACAGGAGACGGAAGTCATATCCCATCTCATCATCCTTTATTTTGTTTACGAGCAAGCATCAACTTCACTACAATTTGCCTTTGAATTTGGTAAAAAAGTGAGAGCAGCTCCAACAAGCACAAAGGAAGCATTCGACCGTTCTGAAAACATTGTCACCTTCGGTTTTGAGCACATTTTTAAAAGAAAAGAAAAAAAAATATATATATCTGGAGTGTTGTGGACGTGTGAAACAGACATTCTGAGGATCAGTAGTGTATCACGTCTCCTGTCTCACAACACCACATGAAACGTACACAAACTTGTGGTTCATGCAAATTAAATTCCCCTTAAATCTTAGTGTTATTACAGTATGGCTGCATTTCAGCTCGTTAGGCAGTGACATTGAATTGAACCAACTCACATTTTGCTTTGGGGCCGATCGGAAAGCTTCACACCCAGAAAACTGGTGGAGTCACTGATGATTCACTGTGACCGATGGTTCCTACGTTAAAATCCCAGATGAAATATAGACGTTAAGTGTTTGATGAAATGAAAACGGAGAATTCTGACCGGCTTATACTCTGGTTGTCGTGAATTTCATGCTGCCCTCAAAATCATTTCTCAACAACTCAGGCAATAGGACGCCGTTCAAAATGACCTTCCACTACACACGACTGGGTCAACTAACAGTACACCCATGTATGCTGGCAAAGCAAGTTCATAATGTACCGTACTGTGTATTCCGTCAATGATTTAGTACAATATCTATTGAACATACAATATGGATCTACGTCCTCTACACACCAACATTGACACATGACATCTATGTAAAACGTTTTTTCACTTTTAGTAAAACTAGCAGTGGACTACTGTTACAACGAACTGAAAACCAGATGTAATCCCCTGCTCTGTAAGAAATCTAGCATTAAACAAACACAAATAAAAAACAAACAAAAAATGCCTCAATAAAAGAGCACAGACGAGTGTTTCTGTTAGACCTGCTAATTGCGCTATTACCGGAAAAAGGCACTCCCATCTCAGCCGGCTCAGTTGTCATGGAGGGGAGACTGTTCACTACAATTCCACCACATACCTGTTTATAAAGTATAAATTAATTGAAGCTAAGAAACAACTGTGCAAGTCAAACCTTCATAAGAAGCCTGCAAACTGTCTTTAATTAAAAAAAAAGCCATGAATGTGTGAATATGAATTCAATTTTGGCCTCTGACAATAGATTTGTGCTAAATATGAGACTCAAAACAAACAACATTTCTAATCCCGATTTAACGCCACATTCTGTTCACCTTTATTCCCCAAATCTGATCTGCTTTAACTCGTCACGGTTTGGGAAATGATAACATTTTAACTTGGTAGCCAAACACATGAGACAGACACCAAATAGTTTAGCGTGGAGGTACATCTGCATCTGGTTTTGTGGAATATATATATATATATATATATATATATATATAAAATCACACACACACAGTCTCTGAGAGACAGAGCTGGACACACTTTCCAAATCAATTGTATAAGCTTTATACGGACACCAGAAGGAAAACAAGTTTACCAAATGTAAACAAATATCTTAGAACAACTCTACAGTACAGTTACATGTACAATAAAATCTAGTGGTCTACGGCAAAAAATATTTCATTTTAAGAATAAGATTGATTTTCAAACCGTTTTTTTTTTTTTTAAACAATGCGGTCATAACCTCAGCTGGATTTCCACGAGAAAGACACTGCATGTTCTGCAATTGGAACAAGTTTAAAAATGCATCCAATATATGTCTTTATTATTATTGTTTCCGGTTAAATAGCCCGTGACATGGAAAAGGAATTGGCAATAAAAACAAAACCTAAAAAATACTTTACACTACCCTACTTTACAATGCCAGCAACTGCACTATTTGACCGGGCTCCAGCTATCCGCTGCGTCCGTCATTCCTCCGCTCCTTCAGTAGTTTGTAGAGCTTTTTCTTCGCTGCTTCTGTCCACACAGCAGCAGCGGCGTACGCGAGAAAGGCTTTTAAAGCTGCTGAGGAAATCTCTCTACTCGTCCAAATTCACTGGCAGAAATGCTAGTCGCCATATTTCAAGCCCAACAGCGCTGCAGTGCTCCGATGGCCTCGCGTTGGTACCGTTTCACACAAAATGCAGGTTTTACATGAGCATTTCTGAGTACGATTAATCAGAATCGAACTCAGAAATCTGAACAAAAAGATCATTTCTGTACAACAGTGAGATCTAATGGGAATGAAATACACTTACGCCGGGAGTAGAACGTTGCCACCTGTGCAAGCAAAGCAAAGCGAGATGTATGAAGCTGAAACCATCCACCGGTCCTGCCTACGAAAATCCTAAATAATAGATTTTTCCTCTTTGCAAAAAAATAAAAAGACAAAATGGACACCACTTTGTCATGGAAACCTCCGCTCAACAGTCCTGGGTTTCTCGTCATGAAGCAGACATTTTTGTACAAGCATGATGAACAACCTTTGCAGAAATTTAGCGACATGCTGCACCCGGTGTGACACAAATATTCTACATTACGAACCGCGTCGTTTTAGATATTGGACCCTGTTGAGGAGGCCTTCACTAACACATTGACTAATTACATGGTGTATTTATATTTACAAAATCTTTAAAAAGCAATTGATTTCTCTACACGACTTCTCAAATATCTTCATGCACTAAAATAATAAAAAAAAAGAAAATGCCATATTTCTGTTAAAAGCATCCTTTCGGTTCAATGTGGACTAGAAATCGAGAAAGCTATATGTGAGATTAGCGGCAAACAATTCTAAAAGCATCACGCAAAGAAATTAGAGGGGGAAAGGTCTCCATTTGAAAGCTTTACGTCTGAGAGAAAACAAAAGTGCAGGGTTGGCTTCCTCACTCAGTTCAGAAGAATTGTAGGCCAAGTTTTCCTGGGAATTAAAATATAATAAATAAAAAAATGAACAGTAAAAATCAGCAATCCGGTGATTACTACACTACACCGAGTACCACCACTGAGATAACAACAGGAAAGCCTTGACCATACATATGCTGAAGGAAATTTAGTGTCGCTTTTTTGTTGGCTTTTTTATTTGTATTTTGTATTTTTTGTATTTATTATTACATCATGGCTCCTTATAGGGGGTGGGGGTGTGTGTGGAGGCGTGAGTATGAGGATCTGAGTGAGTGTGAGTTGGTGCCTGTGTGTGAGCTGGTGTTGAGTGTTATGTGTGTGTGTGTGTGTGCGTGCGTGTCGTTTTAGTAAGTGAGGGTGGAGTCGTCCCACTCCAGCTGCTGCTGTCTGCTGGCCGCCTGCTGGTCCTCCGGCTCCGCGCCCTCCTCGTCCTCGCTGCTCTCTGACTCAGCGCTAGTGATGTCATCTTCCTCTTCCCCATCCTCGCTCTCCTCCTCCTCCTCTTCCTCCTCCTCCTCGCTGCTGTGCTGGTCCTCGTATGTCTGCGTTAGAGACGCAGGGGTTGTTTGTGAAGACGCACTCGAGATCCAAACTCCTTCACATTTTTACTTACGATACAAACATTCTGCTTCGAAGGTCAACTAGATAGCTAATTCTAGAAAAAGCAAATAAGGGCTTTCTTTATTTTAATAAAGTGATTTTGCATATACTTTCCCTTAGCGTGTTATAAACTGATATCAGTAAGAGATCTTTGTCCCAGGGAGCCGCTCTAGTTTAACATCAATACTAGAAACAGTGAGCTACACACAGCACACTACGTCAACCATCCTGGCTGGTTTGTGGCGTTAAGACTAAAGAAACCAAAGATCTGCCGCCAGGAGACCGTTTGAGTTTCGCTTCTCACCAATTAACGCACTAGAACAAGCGTCCGCTCCTCGCGGCGGACAGTATTTCAACAAAGCTAGGAGCTCTCACTAAATACGACGCAATGATCTACTCCACTGCAACCCCTGATGGCATTTCGGGCTGACTGTTTCACTTCCATCAAGTACTGCGGCAGCAATTCCTTAATTTAAACGTCGGCAGTT